ATGGTGGTAGAAATGTCCGATCAGAACTCAATAAAAAGTAATTTATAGCGCCTCGAATGCCAATAAAGAAAGTGACTTTTTTGCCGCCCCCCCTGTATAGGTTTTCAAGCTGGAGTGTTAGGTCGACGAAATTGAATTCATGCCACAGATTGAAGAGTCACCAGGTCATAGAATGCTTCCTTATCATTATCGACCAATACCCTCAGTTGATGTTAGACGTTCAAAAATCTGTGGGTAGGTTCTGCAGCTCCCCAAAAGCCCCCCCCCCCCCTCCCACGCGATGCTGTTTTACAGGAGGTCCGAATTCCCGTCTCCCGATCGCTTGAACCAACTTCAAAGTGTCATGAGAACCACCTTTGCTTGATCATACATATCATGAGTTTGGAGCTTCTTCTGTAAGTTGTCGAAAACTAACTTTTATGTTGACCCGACACCTCATTTCAATGAAATAGAAATGGACAGAAATCAAGAAATAGTGGGAAGGCAATCACACTGTCTTATTGAGCAAAAAACTTTCTATCAAACACTGTGGAAAAAATTGGAAACAGTTGTCATCTTCTATGTGAGAAAAATTTGTATGAGAAAAAAGCCATTACTTACGGGCCAACCCAATACATTGGACGCAGTTCGGCTTCGTGAGGGGATTTAGCTTTGCTTTGCACAGCATCATTCATCCTCCAAACTCTATCTCATGTTCATGGAAAACTAATTTTTCAGTGGTCAACGGCGATATCACAGCACCACCACAGGCCGCCCAGCAACAAACCACAACCACGACGACGGTCACGACCACGAAGAAACCTGCGCCTGCGCCACCGGTGAGCCTTCCACTACAAACCAACTCCTTTTTCTTGCACTGCCATTAATAATGCATCATCACCGACAGTACCACATTGTTGATAGCCTGGCATTCAGCTCGTAAAGAGGTATATATTTTCCCGGAATACCCACTTAATTCCATCGCTTGAAGTGTAGGAAGGCTACAAACATTTTCATTATTCATTTTCAAAGCCACAAATTCTTCACTAGTTAATGTTAGGGGCTTTCATGCCATCGGGCACCTCCCCGATCAGTTTCTCAAGGACAGCACAATCGTGGTTTGCTTTCAGTGCTCTCTTCATCGTTTCTGAGCTCAACAAATCGTTCCCTGACCAGTCTTAGTCCAGGCATTTTGTTACACCGACCTTATTAGTTCTCAGCTTTACAGCGTTTGATCGCGAGAAGCGAGAAGAAATTGCAAGCGCGTGGAGAGACTAGAGATAATGAACGAGCGGGACACACACGAGACCATGATCCTGAACTTCTCCGAGGAAATTGGAGGACCGCGCCTGCAAAAGCGTGGAAAAATGCGGAGGAACGTGTGGCCGGCCAGGGCATTGTCTCACATTCGTCTTATAGAATGAAGGGATCCACCTGACAGGCAACCACGGCAAGTGATCCATGTAGCAGACCAATGAGCTTCCGCGTGAATTCCGTTTTCTCCATGTTGCACTTTCTTTTGAATTAGCGGTAAAGTTGGTGGTAACATGGGAAAGTACTCACGTCCAGCATGGGAGTTGATAGAAGTTGAAGAGCGTATGAGTCCATCAGTCAAGTGTTATGCTATGGCATTAGAACCCATCATAAATTATCGAGAAGTAGAAAGCTTTGGGCGGGAGTGACTTGCAGGAATTCCCTTTTCAAAACTAATAGCCTTACGAATCACATAACTTCGCACCACTTTGCAGCTTGTGATGAGAACGTGACCAAGGCAGCGCTAAAAATGCTCATGCGCTAAAAATTTGACAGTGTTATTTTGTATAGATAGAGCTTTTTTCACCCCCTTTCCATTCCTCCCCCATTGCTGGACAGAACTTGTGAGCGAGGGCGTCGTTCATAGTAAAAAGGAGACATTTGATCAGCACTGCCATGATGTGCCCTGACCGCGACTACCCATTAACATGAGGGCGTTGCGCTACATTGACCTTTGTTGACGAATTGTACCTGGCATAGGTAAGAATCGTGGAAGAGTGCGGCTAGTCGACCTTTGATTCTTCTCTACTGGTTTCCAAAACGCTCTCATCCGACGGTACATGCAATTTTGAAGTCATCCGACTTAGACCTTGAGAATGTTTCTTCTACGATTCCATCTCTGTGGAAATTTGCGTTGTTCGCCTCAAAACATCTGAAATACTTCTTGTCCAAAACTGGGATAGTGAAGCAATAATCCCCTTCTCACATAAAGAAGTATGAACCCTGGTATCCTTCCCCTACAGCTCTTTGCATAGCAGCCTCGATACACTATAAAGAGCGGTCGAGATGTGGAACAGTTTACTCGCTTCCAGGTAACTTACATAATAAAGTTCTCCTTCTGGAAGGAAACTTGGACATGTCCATCTCTCCAATAGTTCTGAATGAAAAAGCCCTGCACCCTATAGTGGAACTTCTCTTCTACCAGTAAGGGCTGCCGTGACTGAATCCCTCCAATGCTTGAGAAACATGTATCTGCGGGAAGAAAAGCCACAAAATGGCGTTCTAAACAGTTCTAAAGCTCCCATTCTACAGCAATACACTGCAGAGGTGAGCCGTAGGGAAATTTAACAGGAAAACTATCAGAACTCTGTACTTCGTTTACTTACACTTGGACTTGTTTGAAGTCTTCATCGACTCCATAGGCGCTTCAGGGGCATCCACGGATATTCAACTTCAAATTCTCTAAAATGCATGGAACTGCTCACTCGTATTGGTGGTCTTTTCCTTCACTCATGCTTCAGGTTATCACAAGGATGTCAGATGGGTTGAGGTAGAGGCAGGGTACAGCATCGTAAACGGTGGTGTAGGTACGACCCCCACCCCCTTCCCCAGCACCTACCTACCAATTTCCCACATTTTCCAGTTTTTCACCCAAAGATTTTCCGTCGAGCCGTCGGGCGGGGCGAGTGGGAAGGAGGTATGTATTACACATGAAACAAGAAAAACCACAAAAAGTCAACAACCAGGAGAAGAATTTTCTTTCCCAAATTGCGGAAAATTGCTCCTTAAGGCAAATACAACCCCCCTTCTCCCCACGACCTGAATATGACCCCCCATGTGTTCACACAACGATGCTGTATCCTGGGTAGAGGCCTTTACTAGGTCACTTTGTCATCCTGGTGCTGACCTTGGGTGCCGAAACCTAGATCTCACGCACTTTCGTATTTGCCTAGGGTCGTTCTTGATGATTTGAAAACTTTTCTCCGGAACACAAGTCAAGGAAATTCAAAAAATACTTTGGTAGGAAATTGCGATTTTTTGGCTCGCTCCGAGTCTTCTTTCGCAGCTGTACGAGCGCATTTATAATTGTGAATAACCATTTGTTTATTCAGGTGAAACAACAAACAGTCCGCGTCAAGTGAGCACTGACTTCCATCCTACTGTGAAACATCATCACGGTCCTCATAGAAGTGTCTGTCGACGAATAATTTGCATAT